TTTTATTCATATTAAAGTTTCTAATAGAAATGAATGATATTTGAATATTTATTAGGGTTTATATAACCTTTAATTTGACCTGGTTATCTCATTGACATGTTGCAGGATTGCAGGACAGACCTGAGTGCAGCACGCAAAATGCTCTTTCCCAGAAATGTATTTCTGAATCAAAATCTGTTTCATAAAGTCGACAAACTAAACTCTACATAAACTAACTGAAATAACTCATCACCATGTTCATTTCCAATATACTCAGCACCAAATTATTATTGTTATTATGTGCCTGCAATGCAATAACACTGAAGGCATATATTACTATCCTGCATACTTTATTATTAATAGTGTGACTGCTGAGTCAGCAACCGCCATTGTGTCTTGTCTTGCTCCAGATGTTTTTATTATATGACGCAGTGGGTTGTTTATGATGCAGACCAGAACTATCAGAAATATATCAACTTATCAGTCTGATTGATTTTTTCTTTCGTGACCTTTTGACATAACCAAAATTTGATCATCCTGAACGACGCTGTATTATTATGTTGGCCTCAATTCTGCAATTTCTTTACATGTTTTAAGCTTTATCACATTTTACGTAGCAGTTACACAATATGACTGACACATTAGCTTAAAGTTTGCTTTTTTCTTTTCCTTTTCCTTCTGAATGCATGAACACTCAGGTACCTGATGCATATAGTTCATTTGAAAATTTTTGACTTCTTAATGTCATGCGTGGCCTCTCCTCCCTTGCACCTCCGCCGCAAATGTAATCAGCCAAACAGAAGTTTTCCCAGACCGAGAGGGCAATGTATTTCTTTACAAGTTCACAACAGGATTACTCCGTCCAAACACCAGCCAACAGGACGTTCAGTTAAACAGACATTTCTCAGCTGATCTGGAGGCAGAAATAAATAAATGAGCTGAGGTTTTAGCAAGGAGCACAATTTGTCTTGACAAGTAACGTCAGGCTGATGCCAAGTGAAAAGACTAAAGGTAAAGACAGGAGGATGTAGTACTTAATTCAACTGACTATACAACCTCTGACCTGAGCAGGGACTTGAGAGAGAGAAGAGAGAGTTGAGAGCTTTATGAGCCGCACCGTCTCTCACACGGAGAATAACTAGATACTGGCCTTCGCATGTCAGCATCAGCATCAGCATCACGTTTGAAAAACAACTTTATCTGAATCTGTGTGTTCTGTGGTGGCTTCAGGACGGCGAGGCTCCCTCTCTGTATGATACGGAGCGCCGGTGTAATATGTCATCAATCTTTTGTCACCCCTCTAATGAAGTCTGGGGGGGGGGGGGGGGGGGGTCTGCTGTCTGGTTGTGGTCATGTCTGCGCTTTCTTCTCCATGTCAGACGGTGTTGAAGACGGCAAGGAATTCCACTCAGACATGTAATATATGACGTAATGTTGCCATATGTGTCACCTATAGGGGGATATATTATCATCATATATATACATCCTCTGGATATATAAAGATATAAGTTGATAACATATGTGAAATACCCTTAGTAAAATTTGTATATGTAGATATATTAAGAATATCTATATTATTGCAACCATATTTATTAATCCTATACTGTATATTTAATTCATACACGCAAGTTCATTAAAACAACATGCATATAAAAATTTTACATGCTTATATGTGTTTTTATTATTAATTTCCCGTTGATTTTAAACATGTCTGTCTCCTCATTTTGGGAAAGTGGTCTCAGACTTTGGGACTCTACTGTTTATAATATCCAACAGGCTTTTGGATGGATATATGTTTATGTCACATATCTACAATATATTTGTTAAATCACAAGTCTAATACCTGCAAATACAAATACCTGCCTGCTAATCGCCAATCATCACTACCGACTTGCAGTATGGACCTTTCAAACCTTGTTATTTTATATTGGTTAACATTATAGCAGTTATTTTATTAGCCTTTATTGTTTCCTGGTTTCAAATGTTTATTTGTATTATGTTGCATCAGATTCCTTAGTTTGAGACCAGGAAGTGAAGAGATAGTGGATGCGTGAATAAAGTAAGTGTAACGTCAGCTTAATTAAACTTTAGTTCATCATTGTTTGTGCTGACGTTTTAAGTTGATATAACTGTATTTATTTTATCGTTATGTGTTTGATCTCATGTCGGGAAAATCATCCATCTATCCGCCCATACGTTCATCATGTAAACCAATGACCTGATCCTGAACTGTACAAATAAATCATTAGAACGGACAGTGGATCCTGTGTTTGAATGTGCACTGAACATTAGATCTTCCATGAGCAGGCGCCCCCACCTACAATGTAGTTTTTTCAATATTCATGCATACATTAACATACACATGGGCTAGACATGTGACATATGTCAGTTGTTCCAGTTTCTAATGGGTGTCTTTATTTCATATGTACATATTTTACATATATGGAAAATTATGTAGATATATTACATTTACACATGAGATTCCTGTACGCTGACTGAATATGTTCACAAACTACGAATGAATAAGTTGTCTTACCTAAACCCCCACACTATAGACTGGACTGACTGGACTGGACTGGTCTGGACTGGACTGGACTGACTGGACTGACTG